ATCCATTTCTTAATTCTCTTTAGCTCACCCATCTTTGGAGCCTTAAGCAGGGAACCTAAAGAAGTAATGTGCAACTGAGGAGGGAATAAATAATTGCAGATGGTATTTATCCTAATTCCAGGGGACATAGAGAAGAAGTTGCAAGATATGTCAGCGCTTTGTTGATTGGAGAGAGGACATTATGGGTCAGCTTCCTGGTATGTTGGGTTCTGATACCCCGACTTGAACTAATGAATGAAAACTAAGGAAAGGAGTTGTACCAATGACACTGATTTTTCTATAACCAGAATGAAGCTTTACTCCTTATCAGTTTAAAATATAAATGCTTCAATATTAGTGCAGGCAAGGAACAAGCAACTTATAATGCTTGTTTTGGCACAAAACTACCACTGTGATAATAATTTCCTAAAACAATCCCCAATTGGAGACCTTAAAATAATTCCTACAGTATAGAAGGAATCTGGCTTTATCTTGTGTAATACCATTAATTATACAAGACTTTGTCAATCTGACTCATTGGTAAAAACGATCAAATGGCACTACCTAAATCTTGTAATTTTTTAGAATCTTGTTTTTCTACCATGAATGTGCAAATAATGTGTCTTTTCCATTTTCCCCCATTCTCTCAAGATAATTATATCACTTTCTCTGATCTCCTCAAGCCTCCCAGACAGCCTTACTCTACACTGAGCTTTGAACTTACTTCCTACCTCACTGAAAAATCAGAAGCATTCATTAAGGAATGCTTTTTATCCCCCTTGCACCAAATTGGCAAACTAGCTACATCTAAATCGTCCTTTTCCTGCGGAGAATGTCCCGTCTCATCCAAGGCAGTCATGGGCGCCTTTTTCATCTTCTGCAAAATTCAACCATTATCTCTACTGCACTATTGATTTCTCCTTATGTTTGCTAATCATTCCCATTTGCCTAAGAACTCACTTCAGTATCCATCTTCCAACACCCCCCTTGACTGCTCATAGGTCAGCAGAATTTCTGGGAAAAATTGGCATCTACTCTCTTCATTGCTCAAATATCACTTATTTTCCAGTCTATCCCAGTTTGATCTCCATCCCCACTCCTCTACAAAACCTGCTATAGTCTGGGCCACCAGTAGCCCCATATGCCGAATCCAAGGGACACTCCTTAGTCCTTCTTCAACAATGTTGGTCACATCTTCTTTCCTGAAACACTTTCTTCTGTTTATCCTTTTAACACCATCCTGGTCCCTCCTCCCTCTGACTGCTGCTTTTCGTTCTCCAACCTGGAACAGCACATGAAGCAGTGTCTAGAGTGCTCTGATCATTCTAGATGATCTCCTCCAGACCCAAGTTGTAAAATGTTCCTTCAGCTCCTGATTCTAAATTCATATCTCTAGCTCTGACTTTCCTGAGCTCCTTCCTAGTTGCTGCTACCTTTTGAGATATATTAAAACTGACATTCCTATTATATAACCAGAACACCATCCATCCAGTGTTCAAACCTAAAACATGGGAGTCATCTATAACACCATCCCTTTGATCAGTCCTCATATTCAACCCAAAATATGTTGTGGGCATGTCCACTTCTCTCCATCCTCAGGGCCCAAATCTTCTAAGCCAATCACTTGGTGCCCTTATTTGCTCTCTCCCCCAAAACAGACTAACTTTTTTTGAAACAGAAGCAATGTAGTGTTACTCTCCTCCTTCAATAACTCTTCTTTCAGAATAAAATCAAAGTTTCTTACTCTCACCTACGAAGCCCTCCAAGATCTGGCATACCTACCTCTGCGCCTTATCAGACTGCTCCCTCCTGCACTTCCCTCTGAACACCATCCGTCTTTCTCCCCACCCACTATTGTCAATCTGTTTCCTGTCTTCAAGACTTGGAAAAGTCTAGCTCTTAGCTTGGCTGATTCTTCTCCAGCTGTGCAGTGCCAGCTCAAAAGTCACCTGGTAGACACCTTGGGCTGCATCTGAAACAGTTATCAAATATTATAATATGTTGCTTTACCACTACAATTTCATTTCCTGAAAATCAGCCTCTTCTTTTTTTCTGTTCTATATCCCATCACCTGGAATATTCCTTGCAAAACAGATATTTAGTTCAATGAATGAAAGAATATGGTCAGCAAAAAGGTTAGAAATAAATCAAAAAGCATTTTTATTTATTATGACTTTGAATTTGGACAGTCAGGTACCTGTAATTTTGATTTGAGTCTTTAATTCCCTTAAATGGAAGATATTTTCTATAGTATAGCTTTATCACTTGAAAAATGGGCAAAATGCACTTGTTCATTATATTGTTAAGTTATGTACTATAAATAAAATAATGCTTTGAAGAAAAAAATTCCAAAAAGAAATCCTTTTGTGGACTTTGAGGTTGGGTAAGATTTAAGTTCCCCCACTTTTTTTTTTTAACTGGGAAATGAACCCAGGGGCTCTTAACTGCCTAGCCATATCCCCAACCCTATTTATTGAGACAGGGTCTCACTAAGTTGTTTAAGGCCTTACCAAAATTGCTCAGGCTGTCCTGAAATTTGTGATCCTCATTCCTCAGCTTCCCTAGTCACTGGGATTCTAAATTCCCCTTTTGACTCAGCTTACATGTCATGTATTTAGAGTCATGACCCAAGGAAATCAGGGAAGCAGAAAATTACAAACTGTCTGCTTAGAATGAACAACAGGACTCAAGAGGATCCTATAAGGGCTTCTGACTTATGCCTTTGCTCTTGGCCTCTTTATATCCCTCTAACAGCTCCGGCTTCTTCAGCTCAGCACTGTACATTGCAGAAGGAGCATCACTGAGCACCGAGGGGCTGCACAGTGAAAAGGGAGGTCAGCCCCTTGAATGCTACTTGCCTTGCAGAACCTCTGGTATACATTAGACCAATGAGCTCATGAAACCCACAGAAACTGGTGGGCTTCTTCCATGGCTAAGAATCCGCTCAGACTGCAGCAACATGCTGCTACACTCTGTCCTCTGCTCACCATGCTAAAAGCAGCCCTTCTCTAACTGACCCTCATCAATTCTGGAAGTTTCTAAGGGCTTCTTCAATTCAGAAACCTAGAGGAAGTCACCAGTGGGGGTGCTTGTCATAGATATCTGGATGCTGATCCCATCAATAGCAGCCAGATGAGTCATCTTCTGAACACGTGAATGGTTGCCTTGTTGAACCAGGGATATGATGATGGGAACCACAAGGATGTGACGGCAGAAGTTCTAGTAGACGGAAGCTAAGCTACCTCTATCAGTTCAGGAAAGGGGTCACTACTGCTGTTTGTTGGTCAAGGGAGGCTTTCTGTTAGGATAACCCATTTCCAAACCTCAGCACCTCAACACAAAAAGGATTTGTTTATTTTTCATGCCTAAATCCAATCAGATCAGTAGGGGTAGTAAGGGAGGTGAGGTGTCTCTGCCCCCACACAGCCCTCCAGGGACCCATGCTCCTTCCTCATAGTGCAGGGGCTCTTAACCTGAAGTCAAAGATGCTCACAGGGTGTGTGGAATTTGTGGGCAGGGTCTAGGACTTGGATAAGGAGGAAAGCATATCCTTCTTTTTCCTGTTAACACAATTTAACATTTCCTGCAGTTCTGCAGTTGTGATTGAAGGCATCAAGCCATAATATTAGCGCCACCTGTGACTTTAATACCAATAGAAATCACAGATATTCCATATCACATTAAAATTTTAGTAGATATGTGAAATACTGTTTATGCTTAACACTACTCTGAAATCATAGCTATTATTAGACCTACTTCAAGATCTTGTTATTTAATCAGTGAATTAGAGAGTGCATATATTATCACAAAATATTTTAAATATTTTTATAACTGTATAACAGTATACTTGCTTTTCTTTTTAATTCTATGTATTTTATTTTTAAATGTTAAAAAGATTATTCTGAGAAGAAGTCCATAGTTGCACCATACAACTAGTTCATGGTAGGCAGAAGTTGAAGAACTCCTGATCAATGATTCTGCTATCACCAAAATCCTTGTGTGTCCTCTGCATCTGGTCAGTGGAATGGGTTGGGAGGTGATACTGGGAATTACTTTAGGTTTGAGGCTTAGAAGGAATGTGTCACCCTTTCCACATTGCATCAACATAGTTCAGTCACAAGATCCCTCTTGGCTACAAGGGAGGATGGGAAATGAGGTCTGACTATGTGGCTGGGAGGAAAACATACTAGGACTTGGTGAGCATATGAAAATGACTCTCACCTTGTCCATGGGAACAGTATGCAAACAGATAGCATCCCAATGAGAAGAGGCTCCCTGGAGAAATTCATTCCCTATCAAATTCATTCCAGGAGGCATACCATAATACTAGAATAGCTGCTGTTCATTAATGATTACTCCTGTTGGTATTCTGCTGATTGGTTTCCATGACCTCATGTAATTCTCATAATAACCTTGAGATAGTATTATTGTTATTTATTTCTTATAAATAAGAACACTGTGGACTTGAGAAATCTAAAATGGTGTCCTTAATCACTGTGCTGCATTATTTTTTGGAAAAACACTAAGACTCTCATTGAAGAACATGGAATTTCATACTGATGGGTAGGATGGACTGTAGAGTCAGACTTTCTGGATTCATACTCCAGCTTTGCCATTACCTAGATCATTGACTGGGCACTTTTACTAAAGCTCTATATGCATCTGTCGAACAGATTAATTTTAGCATCCCCATTTTAGGATTAGCTGATATCAACACTTAGAACAGCTCTTGGCACCTACACTGGTATGTGAGCCACTGTTATTGCTTAATGCCACTGTGACCATCTATGTGAATATGATCTGAAATACTAGAGAAGGACTTGGTTCTCATGAAGAATTTGGGGAAATGTCTGAGGTCACCAAGATCCTCACCAGCCCAGGAAGGTCCTACAACGGTTACTGCTGAGGTACAGTCAAGAATTGTTAGCTCTCTAAAGAAGTGGGGGCAGTGTTGGATGACAGAAAGTGAACATCAGTGAGTGAGTTTTCATTTTAATGTTAGCTTTCTCTGCCCTTCCTAGAACTCAATGAAGGTGATGTTCAAATGCCTCTGGAAGAACTGTGGCAAGGTGCTGAGCACTGCAGCAGGCATCCAAAAACACATCCGGACCATTCATCTCGGGTAAGGCAGCCCTCCCTTCATACCTGAGGTAGACTCTGTTGATTCAGGGTAGGCCACTTGCGCCCAGAGACTGCATGACACAGTGCCTCAGGAGTTCTGGACGTGGGGCCAGCTGGCTCTTCCTTATCTCTAGAGAGATGGCAAGTTCCAAGAATAGGCCAGGATGTCCCAGGACAGAGAACAGGGATTTAATGTAAGACCTGACTGACTCAGTCACATTAGGCAGGTCTCTGCTCTGAACCCCAGTTCCCCCTGAAAATGACTAGTTCTGCACCATCATATAGGAGAGTAATAGATCAAACGTGTGTGAGAAACACTTATAAAGTATACAATACCAGAATAAGGGTTCCTAAACTGGGGTCTATGGTTGTGTTTCAAGGGGTTTCTTGACCCCCTTAAAATTATCTATAATATGAAATGTGCAATTATTTTTTGCAGTGGAGAATATTCATAACTTTGAGTCTCAAAATCCTATATTGCCTATAAAAGGTTTTAAGAACCACCACCCAGTCAAGTCTACTGCTTGACTTCTTACAATGCCTGATGGTATGGCTCAATCTTTCTGTGGCTCAAATTCGTGCCTTATTTATAAAATTTATACTTTTCCTCGTGTTATATGACAACTCTCTTAAGGAAAGATAAAATGGAGTTTGGGGCACCACAGCCTTTGAGCTTACAGCAGGAGCACAGTGGTGTTTGGCAGTCTCCAGCTTTTGTCCTGTGGCCATCTAAGACTGACTTATCAGGGACCCTGAGAAGCTGTTCATCACAACCAGTATGTGTAAGACAGACACAAACACACAACAAAGCCTTCATGTTTAGATACAGAGGAATCCTTTTGTCAAGATGGGTGTGGAGAAATAAGTGCAATGGTCATTTTCCTGGTGAGGGATAAATTTAGGAAATACATCATCCATAAAATGTAGTGTAGGCAAAGGGGAAAAAAAGGAATTTTGCTAATCTGTGAGGGTCAGCTCCATGAATGACTGTGGAGAGAGCAGTTATTTGGCTCCCTAACTCTGCAGGGTGATGTATGGGAATACACCAGATTGGGGTGGCCCCTAGAAGTCACCAAGCACTGTGTGTCTGGCGCAGTGTGGCTTGGGCTTTTGCTCCCTGGCCACGGTATGCCTGTATGTGAAGTAGTGCTGCATTGAAATATAGCTGTGCATATCACCCCCACTTCAAGACAATTCATAACATAACAAGAGTTATTTAAAGGTTTAGAAAGAACTTCCTGAAGCAATAGCCAAGAATTGTTAGCTTTCTAAAGAAGTCGGGGGGAGTGTTGGATGATAGATGCTGGGTGTTTGTCTTAAAGTTCATTCATCTGCCCAGAAAATTGAATCCTTTTCAGCCCCACTTAGAAGCACACACACACACTATATATATATGTGTGTGTGTGTATATATATAGACCATGAGTGGTATCACAAAATTTTCCTATGCACTCCCAGGGTACACTCACAGTGGGTGGAATTCAAAATGTAGCCACTTTATTTGCTTCCCTAGGTATCCCCTTTTTACTGATGTGCTCTTAGAATTGCTCAGTGAACTGTAACCCTGCCAGCCATCCCCCCAGGAAAGGTCCTTGTAGGACTCTAAGGCCAACCTATGTTTATGAAGCCCTGTGTCTGAGTGCTCTCATGACTGGGAAAGACAACTGCCCTCACCTTAATCCATGAGCATCATTATGTGACTATGGGGACACAGCATTTTTAACAAGTACTAGCTGTGTGTAGGTGTGGGAGGAGAGCCTGTCAAAGCCCAGAGAAAACATGTCTTGCCTCTGATGTAGCTACAGTGCACACCAGGCCAGTATAAAAAGCACACTGTTTTTCTCTTAAATCACACTCGGTTCTTGTATACTAAGGGCTGATTCTGATTTATCACCCTGGAGGACTCACGATTTCCCCCAGGTCTGTGTGTCTATTAGTAGCACTTGGCAACGAGCAGCAGTGCAGCCTGCCTTTAACTGGAAAGGAAGTGGGACAGGAATAGAACAGATCCTCATTCTTCATCTCTCTCTCTGGGGTCTTCAGTGGTATGCTGGTCAGCAAGCCAAGCCCAAACAGACCTGATATGGCACAGAGAGCTCAGGGGAAATGGAACCAGACTGGGAGAAGCCACTGATTTGGCCAAACAGAAAGTCCTGGGGAGGGCAGTTTATTTTAGGTTCTAGTAGGGATCATTAGTGGAGAAACACGTTTGTTCTGAGTCAGTGATCTGCAGCTGCTGCTGGACATGTCCATGAAATGAGGGGTGCCGTGGTCTCTCTCAGCCATCCCATAGAACCAGGTGCCAACAAGTCTAATAAATATTTTCTAAGCAAATAGTTATTTTATTTTACTCAGAACTTTCTGTGGGAAAGAACTTTGAAAGCACCTGGAAAGATACTTTCCTAGTGATACTGAAAATTGAAGCCTTAACATAGTCCTTATTTTTATTTAAAATAAAAAACACAAATTTATTATGTGTCAGGTACACTTGTGAGCACTTTGTTCATTTAGTCCTCATGTCAAAGCAGGCATACTCATTATCCCCATTTTATAAGTGAAGAAACTGAGGCATGAGGGCCATGTGTAAGCTTCCAAAGTCAAACCCGCTATTAGGAAGTGTCAATCAGGAACTGAGCCTGTGAAGCCCAACTCCAGAATCCATGGTCTCGGTCCCTGCAACAACAACGTCAGCTGAATTCATCGTTCAACATTTAACAGGTACCTGCTCACACCAAATGCACTGATGTGTATGTAGGGACAAAGGTCAACAGCGAGACATATCCCTAGAGAAGAACAATCAGAGTGAGATCGCAGGTCAGAAAAAACTACAGGGCTGCAAGTGTAGCTCAGTGGCAGTGCACTTGCCAGTCAGGCAAAAGGCCCTGGGTTCCATCCCAGCACTACAAAATAATATGATAATTACAGAAATACAGCAAGTGGTGAATTCAAGGGATGAACACACTTTACAGGGAGCACAGAGAACTAAGAGGAGTTAAAAGTCCTGATGCCTCACCTTCAAGACATATCCAGACTTTGACTTCCCACCACTTGGATCACTGTCAACCTGGCCCCGCCACTGCCAGTGTTCAGCAACAGCCTTGCACTCCTGTCCTTGCCCTCCTGTCCTCTAGTCAATAGCCAAAGTGATCCTTTTTAAAAAAAAAAAAAGTTTTCAATTTCTCAAAGTCCCCATTGACTTCTATCACATCCAGAATAAGTGCTAAAGCCATCACTGTGGGCAGTGAAACGCCACTGGTCGTCCGTGCTGCCATGCCTGGAGCTCCAGACACTAGCCTCTCTCTACTCCTTGGAAAGCACCAGACTCACCAGGGAGCCTCATGTAACTCTTCCCATAGGCCCACATGGTCTCTCCCTCACTTCATTCAGGCAAGTGTCTGCTTAAATGTCACCTTCTCAGAAAGGCTTCCCTTGAACACTCTAGGTAAGCATCGTGCCCCTTCCCAATCACTTACATTGCTCAAGGACACTCTTGTGCTGCTGAATTTTTCTTTCTGGGACTTACCAATATCTGATATATTAAACATCTGTCTCATCTACTAGACAGTGAGTTCCAACAAGGCAGTGTCTATGTTTTATTCACTATAGTATAAGGAGGCTCTAGAACAGTGTGGATAAACTAGATTGATTGATTTATAAATTATTGTCATAAGATTGAACTAATGAATAATTGAATGGATTTCTTTATCTTAGTCCATTTTCTGTTGCTGTTACAAAATTCCCAAGACCAGGTAATTTATAAGAAATAGAAGTTAATTTGGCTCATGGTTCTGGATGCTGAAAGTCCAAGACCATGGTACTAACATCTGCTCAGCATCTGGTAAGGACCTTCTTGCTGCATCATAGCATGGTGGAGGACATGATGTGGGGAGACAGAGCATGCTGCTAGCTTGAGTCTCTCTTCCTCTTCCTATAAAGCCAGTAAAGTCATCATGGTGGCCCCACCCATCCTAACTACCTCCCAGAGGCCCCATTTCAAAACACCATTAATATAGATAGTCCCCGTACGTTAGGGGACTAAGTTTCTGACACATGAACTTTGGGTGGACATGTTCAGATGAAAGCAGATGTCAAGAAAGACCTCCCTAGAAATGGATATTTGAGTATCGCAGGATAAGCAAGAGATTTCAAGGCAGACGAGAGAGAAGAAAAGCATCCTAGACGGAGGACTAACATGTGAGATTTCAAGGCTGAGCACATCTGTTTGCTCTCTCCTGCTTTAGGCGTGTTGGAGACTCTGACTACAGTGATGGAGAGGAGGATTTCTACTACACGGAGATCAAGCTCAACACAGACTCAGTGGCAGATGGACTGAGCAGCCTGGCCCCAGTTTCACCCTCCCAGTCCCTGGCTTCCCCTCCTATGTTCCCCATCCCAGATTCCAGCAGAACAGAAACTCCTTGTGCCAAAACTGACACCAAACTGATGACACCATTGAGCCGCTCAGCTCCCACCACCCTCTACCTCGTGCACACCGACCACGCTTACCAGGTGACTAGCACGGGACTGGGAGAGTGATCATTCTGACACTGACCAAAAGCCGTAGCCATCTGACCTGGAAATAGATACCTCAGTGGAAAACAACTCACATACTGCAGCCCAGTAGCCAAGTTTACTTTTTTTCTCCTCTTAAAGCCAACATCTCACATAGATGGATGATTATTCTTGGATTCCCAGTGCTGGCTGAAGGTTCCTTCCCTTAATGATTGCTATGAGGATTAAAATCTTTTAATATTGTAAAGCCCTCAGAATGATGCCTGAGACATCATATAAGTATCTGTTAAATAAAAAAATAAGTAAAAAGCTAAGCCTTGGAAAGCTTTGGTACAATGATAGAACTACTCCAAATCTGGGACCTCATTTATACCCTGCCTTTTAAATGGGTAACTAATTCTCAGACTGAGGTAGTGGTTTTCAGTATCCCCCAGGTCAATGTGCAAGTATCACCTGGGAACTGGTTAGGAAGGGAAATTCTTGGGAATCCCCCAGACCTATAGGATCAGAGCAAGGGACAGACCCTCCAGCAGATGCTGATTCACAGTAAAGTCTGACAAGTCCTTAGAGACAGATCCTGCAAATGCAGGGCCTGGTTAAAACTCCTTCCCACCCCCAAGGTTCTCAACTACCTTATGTAACCCTTAAAAATCTCCTTTATGTACTTGTAATGGTGTTCTTCCAGCCCTGTTTTATAAACTTTCCATATAACTGAGTAGTATCCACTCAAATTGAAACACCAGATTGTTTGAATCTTTCTCTGATCCTTAGCTATCTACTTTTTGGTCTGTCCAATTTTTTCACTATCATTAATAACTCCACTATGAACCTCTCTGCCTGACTTAAATTCTCAGAAGAGAAATTATTGAGTTATCTGGAACATGAATGAACAGTTTCTGAACCTTGCTGTGTGTTGCTGAAATACTTTCCATGGTCCCAGATACAAAACCACCACTACTAGTCTATATGTTTGTAATAAGAAAAACTAAGCCTACAGAGGAAGAATTCAGCCACTTATTTAGCAGTGTTGAACTCAAGAGCAATGGGATAGAGCTCTGATTAAACTACTTGGTGCAATAAATTTAATTCCTGACCCTTGTTGGTCAAAAAGAATAATTCATTCATTTGTTTTTAATGTGTCACTATTGCCCTCCAGAAATCATGGACTTGAAAAAATGAATTAAATCATTCTGCTCATCTATGTAATAAGAGAATTGGAACCCACACTAGGTGATATAAAAGGTCCTTCCCAAAAGGAAGTATTCATAATATTGGGACTTTTCTGTTTCTAGTCATTATAAATTATAATTATAAATATTCAGCACAGAAAATTCTAATATCTTAGCCCCACTAAAAAAAATAATTCATCCCTAATCCCAACAACCAGAGGTCCCCGCGGTTAATGGTTTTGGTTTTTTTTTTTTTTTTTTTTTTTTTTTTTTAGGTATGTCTTTTAAGATTTTGTTCTGTGTCTATGAATAGACACTTTTTTAAAATGGAGGAATCTGGGGACTCTATAGTAGCACTGTCTTTACTCTGGATTATTTTTTTTCTATAAATGTGTTGCTAACATTTCCCATGCCAATCAGCCTTCTTCAACAACAGCATTTTAATGACTCTTTGGGTATGTCATGATGTGTTTCCCTGTATTCCTATTATTGAATATTCATGTTGTTTCCAGGGTTTTTAATACACATAATACATAATTCTGCAAGGAACATCCCTGTATCCATTTCTTTAGAATGAATTCTTAGTATTCTATGAATTAGTTATTACACTTCTAAGAATTTTGATACATATTACTAAAGTACACTCCTAAAATATACCAATTTGCACACCACTTCCCAGTTTACTCAATAAGTTTATATTTCCAAATTTGATAGGACACCTATATACTACTATTCCCTATCATAAATATGTGTATACATAATAAAATTTCTTTTTCAGAAATTGACAGCCAAAGAGTCTTGTTGGGCTGAGGATGTTGCTTAGTGGAAAAGTGCTTACCTAGTGTGCACAAAGTCCTGGGTTTAATTCCCAGCACCACAAAAACAAAACTTCTTCTTGATAGATTGCTTAGCTATATATAAGAAAATCTATTTCTGGCTACTCCTTTGACCCCATTTAATCTCTACCTATTAGATAATTATTCCAAGTTATTCATACAGCTAGACCATTCCTAAAGGCCCTACTTTGGTAAGGTAAGGAGAGCTTAAGGCTCCAAGGAAAAAAATCTTTCGTAAGAATTTTCTCTGTTTCCTATTTAACAGGCCACACCCCCCGTGACTATTCCAGGATCGGCCAAGTTCACCCCTAACGGCAGCAGCTTCAGCATTTCTTGGCAATCTCCTCCAGTCACTTTCACAGGCATTCCAGTAAGTAGAAAAACAAAGAAGCCAGAAATCTGGGCAAAGCCAAATGTAAATTTAGAGGACAAATTGTAGAAACGTGCAAGTAAAAAACAAAAGCCAGAATGCCAAAAGTTCTCTATTTCTTAATCAATATTTATAAATTCATCAGCAAAGTTATCTTGTGGCTCAGACAGATCCAACTTCTCTGCGAAAAGATGTTCCACTCTTGTTTTCGAAAACTTCTAGAAGAGTTTTTAACTGGTGACAACAACTTATTGGAAATACAATTTTTTGAGTTGGCAGTATGTTTGTCTCCAAAAGACCATAAAATGAATAGCTGAACTCACCTTGTATGGAAAAGGTGACATTCGTCACTCTAAAGAGCTATAAAATTCAGTCCTTTGAAATTATTGTTCTGTTGGTATCTCATTTGAAAGTTCAAAAACAGATAAATTGAACTCTTCTTTTTTTTCTTTCAAAGCCTGAATCATCCATGCTGATGGACAACTTGAAAATAAATGAGTACTAAAATACAACCAGATTTAAGAAGTACATAAGAATTAACTTGACATATTAAATGATTTAGTCTGATAAATCACCGTGAGTTAACTTGATTCCTAACCATTTATTTAGAAACATGCCGGGTCTTATAGAGCTTATCACAAAATAGCCACAGACTTGTGCACCGTTGATGCTGGCGGCGGTGTGTAACTTCTGATAAGGTTCAGAAAGTGGTTTATGATAACAGATGTTACCTTATTTTCTCTTCTGCACCCCTTCCCACAAGGACCTCACAAAAGCTTCTTATTGTCAACCACTGGCAACTCCCAGAGGTTCCCAGTAAAGTCTAAAGCCTCCAGTGGAGCTGATAAAAAATGAAAGTGGCTGAATGAATTATGCTGTGCTCTGCCAATGAATATTTATTAAATCCCATAGAGCACTAGCCAACAATAAAAATCATCCTGCTGGCAGCAATTTGGGAAATGGTGGCTTCCAGAAAACACTCCTGGAATGTGATTTTAAACAATATCATGGAACTGGAGTCGTTATGAAAGTTGCCTGTTTGATTGAACAGTGGTAACTGCTGGCAGCTCTGGAAGAGTGAATGACCTTGTTAGAAGAGAACAGTTCAGATGTGCAGGTATTAGTTTTGCTTCTAGAAAAAACATGGATCCACTGGTGTACGTGTGAGAGATTAACAATCTGTCCTTTTAGGGGCTTTTTCCTGGATAGACATATGGAGGCCCAGAGATCATCTTCCTATCTTGTCTGAGTCAGCCCTTCTGTGCTAACCTAGAACGGCAGCCCCAACTACAGACTTGCCATCTAATTTCTGCCTTGGAAGGAATTAGATGGCTTGGAAAGAACTTCAAGAGCACATACCATGTTGGTCATTTGATGTAAAAACTTTCCTAGTGTATAGGTGGAACAGCCCTGTTCAAACTCCTTTTTAGATGACCCCGGTGACCAGCCAAACTGGAGTTACTTTCCCCCTTTGCTTTCTTAACCACACTGTCTCCTGAGCTCTAGAGAAGTCACTGAGTGGTTTCTTACTAGCTGCCTAGAAATGTCTTACACAGTAGGATGCCAGCCAGCAGGCCTTGTGGTGTTTGTTTTCCAACAATGAAATTGTAAAGCTCTGGCATGGACACTGTGTACATCTCTACCCGAATCTCAACACAGAGGAGTTTTTGTAGAGTCCCTGGTTTCCCTGTGTTGGTTACCAGGGATATTATAGCAGAAAACTTAGACAGAAAGTATCTACAGTGGCTGAGTTAAGTAGGTATTTAACTAAACTTCTATGTCAGCTTCTAATTTATTCTTTCACCAGAGAATTCCAAGTCTGTCTGGTTGTGTAATCTGTCATAGCCATGACTGTAGACTGTTTTAGCAGTCAAGAGCTTGCCATTCCTACTTTACAAACGGGGGTATTTTCCTTACTCTACAAAGGCAACACGACACTAAGAACATTCCCTGTGTTGCCATATCCCCTATTAATACTATTTTGTTTTTTAAGAACAAATGGATATTTGCCATCCTATTCCTTCTATGGGTGAGTAGCTTTCCTAACAGTCTGCACCATGTAGAAGCAGGACTGCTGCACACCCTGTGGGTGCTGGTGGAGCTCTCTGACCTGCCCAGAAGTGCTTGTCCTAGGCCCTAGAGGACAGGCAGACTCTAAGATGGAATTCCTCCCTCCTAAACTGGTAATAGTTTCAGACAGAAGATCTCAAAGTTTTAGTGAATTAGTATTAATGTCTTCAGTTATATCCAAACTGTAGAATAGAGCAGTTTCTATATTATAAAACACTTTTAAAACAAATGCCCCAAGGTTGTCAGCCTCATTTAGGTTTACTTTCCTCTCTCATTTTTGAGACTTGGTATTGAAGAGAGATTTTGAACACTTTCTAGAGAATGGGGAAAATCGCCTTCTGAGAAATCCCAGGGTTTGTAGGATTTTACTTATTCATTTGTCTGTGCTAGATTTTCTTGAACATTAGGTTTTAATGAGTTCCCTAAGTAAGAACCCTTCCCCGAGGTGGGTATCCAAGAAGGCTGATCTGCATATTTACAAGCACTGTAGTTTCAGTCTTTTCTAGCCTAAGGCTGCTAGGAAGGGGAAGGGAAAGGAGATCCTCATTAATTACAGCTTTTTTTAACCTGTTTTTCTCTCATGGCCTGCCTTTAGTTCTAATTATCTCCATGCCTTTCTCTGTCTTTTTATGACAGAAAGCCAAAATCTCTTGGCTCCTTCATTAGTCACCTCAAGCTACCATAACAAAATAGCCTAGACAGGATGTGTTAAACAGCAGAAATCTATTTGCTCACAGTTCTGGAGGCTAGAAGTCCCAAATCAAGGTATCAGCCAATTTAGTTCCTGGTGAAGGCTCTTTCTGGTTTGTAAATAGTCACTTTCTGACCGTGTCTTCACATAGTTTTCCTTTGTGTGTGTAATACATAGCAAGAAAGAATGAGGGTGGAGAAGGAGAGGAAATCAGGTAGAATAAGAAAAAAGGTACATAACAGCCAATTTTCTGATGGCTCTTCTTATCAGGGCACTAATTCTATTAGATTAGGGGCTCATCCTTATAATCTAATTTAACTTAATGCTTTAAAGACCTTATCTCCAAGTATAGTCACTCTGGGGGCAGGTAGAATTTCAAAGTATGAATTTGGTGGGGAGGGGGTGCCACGGGCATAGCAGTGCTTAAATGTTAGATTCTTAGTTGGTTTGGGTTTGTTTGCTTTTTAATGCCTTGAGAAAGGGTTCAAATTAGTATAAGAGATTAAAACCAACCAAAGGTCTTTTCTGTTTGAGAAACAAAGTTACAAAGTAATTCCTCCAACACATTTACAGAAGTATGACATTTACATTTTTGTACTCAGGGAGGCTCAGCTGCACATCCTGACTCTGGCATCTATGAACTCTGACCTCCAACCAGTCACTTGACCTTGGTTGAAGGAGTGACCTCCATTCTCATTCTACCTGGTAGATATGTGTGGTGCAGCACTGTGCCTGGCATATGGCCAACACTGTGGAGCTCTTATTGTTACTGCCATTGTTACTATTAAACAGGGATCAGAGGAAGTGGATTCTCCCTATTTAGGATTGTTTCATATAACACAAATATACTCAACACCAGGGAAAAATTAGTTTAGAGTTTTGAAGAATATAGTTTAGAGTTTTTTAAGCTCATCTGAGGTTTCACCTAATCAGTAGACTAATTATGGACATGTAACCTATTTTATTTACTTAGAAATAATGTTTAGTACATCAAATACTTAATAAAACATGCTTCAAGATAGAACTCAGAAAAGGTTAAGAAATAAAGACTAAAGTGTAGAGACCACTGGAGAGTCAAAATCATGCTTTATAGGGTTGTATATTAGGACACACATTATTTTCTTCAAATTAGAATCATTTATTATTGAGAGAGAATGTTAGTACATCTTTTTAAAAAATATTTTTAGTTATATGTGGGCACAATATCTTTGTTTATTTTTATGCGGTGCTAAGGATTGAACTCAGTGCCTCACATATGCAAGCTAAGTGCTCTGTCTCTGAGCCACAACCCCAGCCCAATGTTAGTACATCTTTATGGGGTACATTGTGGTAATTCAGTATTTATATACAGTGTGTAATAATCAAACCAGGGTAATTAGCATTTCCCTCTCTCCAAATATTAATCATTTTTATGTGTTGGGGATTTCCTATTTTTCTGGTCATTTGGAATATATCACAGATTATTTTAACCTATGGTTACCCACCTGTGCTAAAGAAGAACCAGAAGTAATTCCTCCATTCTGTTTTGGTGACCTTGGGCTTCTTTCTGTGCCTCCTCCCTCCTGCCCTTCCTAGGCTATAGTGACCACTATTATTTCATTCTTCTTTAAGGTTGATATTAGTTTCCACAAATGAGTGATAATGTGCAGTACTTGTCTCTGTCTGGCTTATTAACAGAATGGCCACCAGTTCTGTACATATTGTTCCAAATGACAGGATATATATAGATAGATATAGATATTTAGTTGTAGGTGGACACAATACCTATTTTTTTTAATGTGGTGCTGAGGATCGAACCCAGCACCTCACATGTGCAGGCGAGTGCTTTACCATTGAGCCACAACCCCAGCAGGATTTCACTTTTTTAATGGATGAATAATGCTCCATTGTGTACATATACCAGATGTTCTTTATTTACCCATCCACTGAAGGGCCTCTGGGTTGATTCCTTTTTTTTTTTTTTTTTTTTTTTTAAACCAGGGGTGCTTTACCACTAGACCACATTCCCAGCACTTTTTATATTTTGAGACAGGGTTTAAGTTGCTTAGGGCCTAGGTGAATTGCACAGGATTGCCTGGAACTTTTGATCCTCCCACCTTAGCCCCCCAAGTCACTGGAATTACAGGCATGTGCTACCACACCGGCTCTGTTCTATATTTTAGTAGAAAGAGCAGTGAACACTGCTGCAGGAAATTTGGGACTGCAAGTACCTTTTTGCCATAGTGAGGTCATCTCCTGGTAGTAGAATTACTAGATCATAACTGTAGTTGTTAGTTTAAGGGGGGACTCTTCCATAATGGCTGAGTTCCCACCAGTGGTGTATGAGAGTTCCCCTTTCTCTGCATTCTCTCTAGCATTTGTTGTCTTTTTGATGACTCACCACCAGGGTGAGATAACTCATTGTGGTTTTGATTTGCATTTCCCCTCAATTAGTGAGATTGAGCATTTTTTTTCATGTATTTAGTGCCTATTCATATGTCATTTTTTGAGAAATGTCTGTTTAGTTCTTTAGGCCAGTTTTTCATTGGATTGATTGTGTGTTTGGTTCAGAGTTCCTTATGTACTCTGGATATCAATCACTGGATGAATAGTTTGTAAATGTTTTCTCCCGTTCTGTAGGTTGTCTCTTAGTTCTGTTGAATATTTACTTTGCTGTACAGAAGCTTCTTAGTTTGATATAATCATTTGTCTAGTTTAATTTGTTGCCTGTGCCTCTGAGGCCACACAGTATTTCCATCAATTATGTGGCAGGATGGGAGAGTAGAAAGAGCAGGCGCCTAATATCCTTCAGAAGGGGGTTCCAAGACCAGCTGGTATTCCAGTTCCCCATTTAATGACTGTGTGGCCTTGACAATGTATTTAACTTCTGTAAAGGGGAAATGATAGTGATGCTTTTATCATAGGGCCATTGTGAGGATTAAATTAGAAGGCAGTGAGGATATAGCTCAGTGGTAGAATGTGCTTATCTTGTGCAAGACCCTGGATTCAATCACCAGAACCACACACCCCAAAAAATTATAGAACATATGGGAGGTGCTTAGCTTAGTTTGTACTTAGACCGTATACCAAGCTCTTGATAAGTTACTATTATTGCTACTTTTTCCTGTGGGATGTGGTGCAGTCCACCTCTCTGTTCAAAGCTTAAATTTGTCTCCAAGATGCAAATATGATCATTTATTTTGCTGTGAGGATTAGGAGAGATAATAATCAATAGCCTGTCTTTCACATTTGCATGAGCTTAATAAATATTAATTACCTACTGCAGTCACTCCCTTGGTTTCCCTACCCTTATCCCCTAGTAAAATAAGAAGATAAAACATGTTCTTGCTATTTAAAAAAATATCAAGAAAACTCAGGTCGTACAAAGCCTTCCACAGAACTAAGCCATATACCACATGTGAAGTGGGTCCTCTGTGTCTTGTGCTGTGTTGCACCCTGTAGAAACCTAAGCCTTTGGAAGGGGGAGGGTGCATGCCCTGAACTCCAAATTAAGAGAGAATAAAGACTATTGGTCTCACAGTAGGTCCATATTCCTCAAACTGTGCTCATGATATTTTCAAAAACCTTTCTCTCATGTCTCCCTCAAACCTGCCATTGCACCAGTTTTCCCATCTCTTTAAGTGGCACCCCACACCCCCAGCCACTCAGGCAAGAACCCAGGATCCATCTTTGCCTCCTCTTGGTTCATCTAAAGATTTGTCTGTTTTCTTTGTTCCACATTCATCCATCTGCAAATTCTAGTTCTGCCTCTAAGCGACAATCCCCTTCCATTCATCCCCTTCCCACCTCCACCGCTGTCACATCGACCCTAAACCACTCATATGTTTGCCTCCAAAAGGCTCTTAGATAGTCTATAGGTCTCCTTTCCAGAAAGTTTCATATCCATTTCCTCAAGAGCCAAATCGATCCTTTCAAAGCATTATTCAGATATCTCACAATTCTCCAATGGATTCCCATTACACTTAGAATGACAAACATTCAATCCCATTATCAAACCTGTCCATCGTCCATCCTTCTACCCTCACCTCCCTCAGAGCACCTTCTGGGAACCTGTGCACTTGAAAATCTTTGTCATTGCACTGTCCTCTGGTGTGCCCTGCAGATAAAGGGTGACTGCCTCAGAGACCTTCTTTTACCATCCTAATGTATATTCTCTCCTTAAATTATACTTTAGCCTGAAGAAAATAAAATACGGTAATAGGCACTTATCCCTAAAATGTATTGTCTGTCTGCCCATGAGAATGTAAACACCACAAGAGCAGAGCTGTTTTGCTCACTGTTGTATCTACAGAATCTAGAACAGTGTCTGGTATATGGAAATTACAGCCAGCCCTCTGTATCTGCAGGTTCTACATATGCAGATTAAACTTTTTTTTCAATTACATCTATAATGAACTTGTACAGACCTTTTCTTGTTATTCCCTATACAGTACAGTTATAACAGTTACTTAGGTAACATTTACATTGTAATTAGGTACAATAAGTAATATAGAGGTGATTTGAAGTATATGGGACCATGTACCTGGGTTACATGCAAATAGTAATGCCATTTTGTCCAAGAGACTTGAACATCTACAGGTTTTAGTATCAACAGGGATGCTGAAACCAATCTCACTTCAGAGGAATCACTGTATTTACTAATGCTGAACAAACAGCATCTGATAATGTCATATCACTGCATGCAAAAGAGCTGTGGCAACTTTGCAAAATCTAGGATTGTGTTTATTACCTCACAATTCACAGTAGCCAATGTAACCAGCCTGGGTATCCATCAATGGAAGAATGGATAAAGAAAATGTGATATATATACACAATGGAGTTTTATTTCACTATAAAGAAAAATGAAATTATGGCATTTGCAGGAAAATGGATGGAACTAGAGACCTTCATGTTTAGTGAAATAAGTCAAACTCAGAAAGTTAAGGGTTATATTTTTCTCTCATATGTGCAAGCTGAAGAGGAAAAAAAATTGGGGCATATCTCATGAAAATCAAAGAGAGATAAATAGAAGGAAAGGGTCCAAGGGTAGGGGGGAGAAGGGGTAGTGCTGGGGAGTGATATTGGCTGAATTATATTGTTATATTGTGTGCATGTACAAATATGTAACAACAGATCTCATCAATATGTACAGCTATAATGCACCAAAAAAAATCTAGAATCTTCCTTGGCTTATGGAAGTAGTGACACTGGCATGTCAACTAAATTTTTTTTTTCAGTTCTCTACCAGTTCTGATATTCTTAAGATTCTATGAGTTCTACGGGAATCTTTAAATTGTATTGTCCTGATAATTTAAAACAACTCACGTGAGTGTATTCTGGACCATCTTCAGTGGCCATTAACTTCTGGAACATTTGTTCCCTGTTTTGCATCCTGAAAACCAAGTGCATTATGAGAGGGGAGGGGGCACATTTCTTCTCATGGAAAGACCTACAGATCTATATACATGAAATGTATTTTTTTTCTAATTCTGTATGTTGCTCATCTCTGCCGGCTTTCAAGACCAGACCAGTGGTAAAGAATAATTCAGACTCATGGCAACAGTCATTAAATTTTAGGTCTTATTTACCTGTATAAATTTTATATTAATGTCTGGAAAAACATTGATATGCATTCCTTCACATTGAAAGAAGAAGGTACTAGTACCTGTACTAGAGAGTATCAGCTGTCTGTGTGCACTATGGGGATGCTCCCTTGACTGCTAATCGGTGATGGTGTTTCTATGACCATGTTGTCTTCTGGGTGATTTTTTTTTTAAGTTGCTAAATGTTTCCTCTTCTGAAAATGGCAATACTGCTTACTTACTTGAAACTTCATTTTCTTTTGTTGTAAAATTAGATTTTTGTAGCACTTGAGAATCCCATGAGCTGAGAAGATGTTTAGTATTATGAGAACAGGTCACATAAAGGGGTTTTATGGATAATCCAAGAGGAACCAAGGGCAGCTGGGGCCCTCTCATTATGACTAAGCAGCAGAAGTACCAGGGTTGCACACCCTGGCTCTACCATCACAAGTTCTATGACCTTGGGCAAGTTAACTTCCCTGTTCCTTGGTTTCCTGATCCATAAAATGGGGCCAATCTTATATGTATGGAATGAGGTTGTTGTGAAAATGAAAGCTGTTGGCAGCGAGGCTGGCACATGGTGGGTACTCAGTGCTACGTGGATCACACATGTTCTTAATTGGCTCAGGCTCTTGCCGTTGTTTCTGCTTGGTCCCCAGATTCTGCTGCAGAGATGTCTTATACAAAAAAAAAAAAAAAATCCATTTATTTAGTGGCTGAATGATCTAATTGATACCTAGGTCCACACTGTGTTGTCACCATCTAGCTGTGTGATCTTTCAGCTGCTCTAGATATTTTTCATACTCTAAAATAGGAATCATGAAACTTACCCTACTTGACAAGAGTTCATGAGACCTAAATGAAATGGGAATAGATTTTAAGGTTTTAAAATGTTATCCAAATGATAGGCAACTTGGAATGCATAAACACGAAGTCATGATTTTTAAAATCATACTGGTGGGCTTTTTTCTGTTTGGGGATGCATTTAACTTCCACCATGAGCATCCCCCATCCATTTTAACTTGTGGTCTCTGTAGAAAACATTTCATCTCCATGCCTAATGGTCAAGGCCCATTGCTCCCATGGCAAAGGCTAAATAAATGCATGGGATGGAGACCCTGCCCTGTCAATTTGGTTTTCCGTGTATTTATCAGGTGTCACCAACACATCATCATGCGGTGAGCACAGGAGAGCAGAGACAACATGCCCACACGGTCCTGTCCTCCCCACCCAGAGGGACAGTCAGCCTAAGGTAAGAGAGCTTAAAATTCTCACCACCTCAAGGGAATTACCTGAAAAACAAATATAGCAGAGAACCCAGAAATGTGATCTTACGTAAAGTTTCTCCAAAATCCACCCTTTCTTTTATTCTCATGGCTTTTCTTATCCATTAACTATTAATGGACATTTGTTGCTGGGTTGAGGGGGCGGTGGCTTGGAGTAAGTTTTCTTGCAGAATTGGATGTTAAGTTTGGTCGTTCTGGTTAAGGGCTCAGTTGTGGCATTAATCCTGGTGTGAAATGAACAAGGTATAGTTTTTTTAATCCAGATCAAGGATCTCCTTAACCGGGATCAGAGAAATAAGGGAAAACTAGGAAGTACAGATTTGAAACCTGAAAGAGCAGTGTTGCTCTCTACTGGTATTTCTTGTGTTTACTCAATTTTATGAAGATGGCCACATATAAGAGAAGCTCAAGGTTATAGTAGCTAATTGTAACAGCCAAGTATAGTGGCCATGAAAACATCCAGTATATATTAAAGTCTGAACCCAGACAGAGCCCCTTGGATGTTTCCTTACTTTTTTTTCCCTCGTAATTTCGAACTCTCCTTAGAATGCCCACTGAAAAAAATCTCTCTTGTCTGACTCACAGGAAGCCCAGGGGAGAGGGCAAAAAGTGCCGGAAGGTGTATGGCATGGAGAACCGGGACATGTGGTGCACCGCCTGCCGATGGAAGAAGGCCTGCCAGAGGTTCATCGACTGAGTAGCAGAGGGCGGCCCCAAGCTGCTCCTGCCTCCTGTTTTGCTGCAGGTGTTAGGAAGAGCCTTTCCTTCTGAACAAAACCTCAAGACCCAGGGAAAGCCCTTCTACGAGCCTTTGTGGAATTACAGCAAAAAAAAAAAATCAAAAATATCACCACCTGTGCTGCTCTTACTGAGAACCCAGCCTAGAGTGGCTAGAACATTTCCCCCCTGTCAAAAGAAAAGTCAACTTTGCCATGTATTTAGGTCTTAAAACTATGGACTTCTGTAACAACTGAACCAACCAAGCCCATTTTACCTAGAAAGGAGGCATATTTTGATAAGCTTTCTGAATTATGGCATTTCCGAGAATTTTTTTGACCCTTGGGGGGGAAAAAATCACATTAGCTACAACATTATTCAGTAGCATTTGTACAAAGAACAATACCCACTTTGTGAATAGACTTTTCCCCTCTTTTTCATTGACTTCTTGAAGCAGTACACATCATGATGTGTTGCAAGAAAGAACAGCACTCTGGGTATCTTTTCTATGTCTGTTTTGTTTGTTTTTAAGAATGGCCCCAGATGGCATAAGCTCCAAAAGCAATTGGCAATGGAGTCACCAGCCGCCTGCAGTCCCAAGTTGAGTTCAGGAAATGTAGCTGCCACTGTTGGAAACCTTCGAGGAATCTTCTTTGGATCTGAAAGAAGCTCTTCCCCCAAGAGGCGGCACAGCTAATTCTCCACCTGCCACAACTCAGACAAGAACTGGCATCCGTAGCCATCTGGGTAAGCCTTGATGCTTCTTTCAGGGATGTGATACAGACTGCAGCTCAGATCTATGTGTTACTGCTTGTCCATCAAGACTGTAGCCAGGTTAATGGGTCATTGGTCCATCCCTCAAAACTCCACCAGTGACTGATTCCCGAAAAAGCAGGGAACTCGACTCTCCCAGCATGTTTGCATTGGACAGCAGGGCACAGCTGACATGTCCCCATCTGTTCAGAAAGTCACCTTCCAGTCTGCGTGCACTTTTATAGGTTTCATGCTTTAGTGTGTCTGGGAGATGGGTTCAAGAACAATATAAATATTATATGGATAAATGGAAGGTCTGAACTTTTATTTTTCTTATAAAAATATTGGGCTATTCATTAATTTGCTCAGAAGGGAACATAGAGAACACCAAAAGGAGAATGCATGCTGGTATAGGACTTTCTCAAGTTAGTAGGGCCAGGGCTTGCACTGTGTTCCATTTGTTGGGATTTCTAACCAGTTGTACTTGTTGTTTGTTTTGGTGTTAGTAGTATGGGTAGCAGCTGCCAAGCCCTTTAAATTAGCTCATCCTCAATTATCTGCCCTACCTTCAACTGCCCTGCTAAAGAGATATTTCTCCTATACCTATGCAAAGAAGAGCACCTTATAGGATGCACTGTATAGGGGTGGGGACATAGGATCAGCCATAGGAATGTTAAATGAAATTGCACAGAGGAAAGTTTAATATATGTTTAAAGACTGTACATATGCTTTTTTAAAGAATAGAAAGAAGTCATCTAGTAATTACAGATACCCTTTTCTATTGTAAGCAAGGGATATATAAGGAGGTTCTACAGTGCAACATCCATAATTTGTGCATTCATATATTATGGTAAATTTATTTTTTAAACTCTCATATGACTTTTTAAAAATTATTCCTTGGAAAAGATCCTGGTCTTTTCCTTCATTTATTTTTTTAAAAAAACACATTTCAAGAGAAAAGAAAAAGAACATCTAATTTTACATCAAGATTACTAATCAATCAATATAGCCACACCAGCTGTACTGTATGTTTTGGAACTTACAAGGTCAGCCAGGAACAGGTGTATTTTTAAATGCAAAAATGTATTGGGTTTCCTCTTCCCTAGCATGTCCTTTCTTCTCCTGGTATCTTATCACTTTGCCTATAGCACCACTGTTGTGAGATGCTGCTCTGGCCTGGTCCAAAAGGCCGTAAGCAATGAGTATATCACCCAGTGTCCTGGAGGAGGCAAGGCTGGCCAATTATTTGAGCAGGTTCACCATGAACTTAAATGAAAGGGTGCAACTGTGGCCCAAAGTTTTTCTCTTCAGCAAATCTCCCTGTCACTTGATTCTTGGATTAAGTCACAAAAGATTAAAGTGATTTGTGTTAAATTCATTCCCTTCCAAGAATTTAGAACACAAGGAGGGAGAGATCTTTGCTGTGGAGTAGTCTTGGAAGAAGGCCCTGTAGCTGTTACTCTAAAAGATACAACCCATGAGTACTTCTGAGCTCAGGCCTAGCTATGCCAGGCTCAATCAGTGCATAGGTGTAAGCAGAACCTTTCTTCTGAAGCCTTCTTCACACACATTCTGCATCTCCTGCCCAAGTGGAGGCGCCTTTCTACTGACCAGTCCAGAGCTCTGTGTACTTTCCTTTCTGGCTTCCAGATGCGGACGGACCCTCAGTACCTTCCTGCTCACAGACACCTATTCCCTGCACCAAGACATGTAATAACTAGGAGACCACCAAGCTACACCTGGCTGGCCTTGAAGAAGACATTATACTTTTTACAAGCTCTGAATTGCAATATGCAGCTGCTGATTGTACAAGTTAAATTTTTTAAAATAGTTATTTTGTTATTTTTGAAACCAAATGAAGTGCCAAATTAAGCCAGACTTTCATTTCATGCCATCTCTGTGGAACCAAGTTCTTTTATGTCTGCATTTGGCAGGAAGAAGGGTAAGAAGAGCAGTCCCAGGGTAAGCTGGCGAGCCTTGTCCATTCCAGGGAACTCAGAGGCCTGTCCAGGCAAAAGGAGTGGCAATACAATGGATTCTGGTCCAGTGAAAAGTTCTGATTTTTTTTTCCCCTTCTTTGATGCCCCTTCTTTTTAAAAAGTTCTCTCATTTCTCTACAAAGAAGGCATTTGATATTCACCAACAGGGCACATACCAGTTAGCTGCAAAGCAAAAAGTGTGTATCGGGCAATAGCCTCAAGACTTAGTTCTTCCCAGAGTAATGGACACTCAACTTGTGGGAGGCAGTGATGCAACTTGAAGAAAACACCCAGATAGCAAGTGTGTCAGGGAGGAAGATTCAAGAGGCCTGCGGACATCTGGCCCCTGTTCATCTTGGGGCTAATCAGCCAATAGTGACTGTCTCTGAGCATTACCCACGGGTACAGGGCTGCTGAGCATCTCCACCTCAATTGCTGGAAAGTTTCCTCCCTTGGTTGGCAAAAGCCAGTTTCGGGAAAAGAGTGGTGGGTTTCCAACCAGGAATGTGCATGCTCAGCTGAAAAATGCCTGTCAGCAGCTCCAAGTACAAACAAGGTACCCTTCAGCGGACAATTCCCTGCCCAGTCATAACCATGTTGCAGATGGAGATTTTTCAGTAGAGAATGATGCCTATTACAGTTCTTCAATTTTCCAAAAAACTTTTCAAAGATGGTCACATGTATGCTGCAAAAAATTTCTGAAACTGATATGTCCTCCATTAAATGTCAAGAGCATTTGAGTTGAAGTCCTCTGTCTCTGATGTCACACTGCCCACACTTTTGCAAGCAGCTATGGGTTCTGAGTTAGCCAACACTGCTGAATTCCATTTTTCCCTTCCTCAGATTCCATTGGAAAATGACATGCAGCATTCATTCACTTGAGAAGGTTTAGGGAAAAGTGGCAAAAATTGTATATAATGAGAATACCTTTAGAATTGTAGCAGAATACTGTAAATAATATTCATTTCCTCAGGGAAACAAAGGCTATGTGAAAATAGGAGAATTCTGAGACTAGGAAGAATTTTACAGTCTTTTCTAGTTGGAATAGGTTTTTTTTTTTTCTTTTCATGTGAACATGATATCATTTCAAGACAAATTTATGTGACCTGGACAATACCAACTTTTGTAGATGTGGGGAAAATGCCCCATGAAGAAGCTTTGTCTTTGTAGCTGGCCTGCAATTGAAGGCTGACATATGAACCACAGGCGTGGTGCCTGGTGGGTATTCATAGACTCAGTGAGGCTTTTTGAATGTAATTGTGAATACAGAGCCTTGCCATTTCTTTTTATAATCACCCAGTTTGGTGACTGTTAATTAGTGATCAGCAGAATTCTATAGGTAATAGAAAGCCGTTAAAGATGTGCATTTTGCTTTACTAGCATGTTAAGGAGCAAACTGCCATGGACTTTATGGACAAGGTGCTGCTTTTTCTCACAACCCTGTAGGATTTCTACCAACCACATCAGCTGTAGCATTGGCCTGTGTGAACACAGGGAAGAATTTGTGCATACTAATGAGTGGAAACAGCAGGATTCATGAATATGAATGAGAACGTGGATCATTTTAGAGAATGTGCTGGGCACATGGGTCAACTGGAAATTTCATTTCTCTAAGCAAGGAACCCTACCAGCAGCACATAGACTCACCCTGTTCCTCCTACCTGTGGGGATCACTCCACCTAGGAACTGTTTCATTCTGTCTTTTAAATTGTAACTAGCCAAGCCTGAAGTCAGTAAATGAGAGTAGCACTTTTAGATATCAATACAATCTCTGAGTAATGTACACCAATAGAGCAAGAAAGCATCAAATGTATTTAAGACCAACTTCTTATGACTGACTTTGAAAAAGCCCATATCCAATGATATTCATGCTTTAAAAGGTGTGTCTCTCATAGGACCAGGAACGAATATGGGAATTGTACTTCCAGTCCTATTGTGTAAATAGTTCCTTTTTTTTGGAGACAATCTCATGTTTTATAACTTTTGTTGTGTGGGTCTGAAAATCACATGGTAATGTGTTGTGGCAAGATGTAATCTTCAATAATAATTATAACTTAATTTTCCAAATGAAACAAAACACTTCTTTAGACGTCTACAATTCTAAGACACGACACTTTTATAATAAGCATTAGTACTGAACTCTTCAAGTTAATAGAACTGGAAATATTTTACAAGATGCAGTGTTTTTGTAATCACAAAAGAACATGAACATTTTGTGGGAAATGACCTTGGTTTTATACATTGTAGCTTATTTTTTAAAATACAGTATTTTACCAGACAGGAAGTGTTCATATTATATACAATTCCTGTTCGCAGAACAAAGGGCTATGCCTCTTTTAAGCAAGTGTTTTGATGCATATCTTTTCAATTAACCCTCTGTAGCAAGGGTAGAAATGCAGATCAGATGGAATGGTTATTAACAAGAGAATCAAGATCACAACACCTACATCTTTATCATTGCCAGAATGTTTTCAAAGCATTAAGGAAAAAAGACACTTGAAGAATCATCACACACATTTTAAATCTTAAAAAAGAAAGAAAGAAAGAAAGTTGGCAGATATGCTTATAGGCCACAGGAGAGAGATTCTTATAAATTCTTTAGTGTAAAATGATGGACTCTGTCATGAGACACATTTTCCACTCAACCTACCAGAACCACAAACCTGCATTTACTTAATAAATATCATTTGGAGGAAATTTCTAAAATCATAGTATGTACATCCAAAGACAGAATTCTTAGGAGATGAGTAGTGTTTAAAGTAATGCTGTCCTCAGCACTAACTTTAATTTCCTTATCAGAATAAGTGCTTGATTTTTCACTGTGAAGAACTCACAGGCGCGCACACACACACAAAGTTACTGTTCCCATGAGTCAGGAAACAAGGAAGGGAGCTGTGGAGAGTTTATTAACTGCACAAACAACTGTGAGTTTTGCCAAAACCATCTCATAATACTGTACACTTTTTTCAAGCCCACTCACTGTTAAAATGAGAAAGCATCTTTTCTAAGATTTTAGTAATCCAGAAGCTAGCCTAATTAGCCAAGTATGCAGATAAGAAAAATTGAGATCAAACGGCCCCATGCTGGTTGGGCAGCCCCTATGAAGTGGTCATTCAAAGCTTGGTTTCAAACAGACTGGACTCTGCAGACATGAGGACTAAAATGCATGGAGTTAGGGAAGTTCACACACAGCCAAGGCTTCCAGTCTGAGATGGGGCAACCTAGAAAACTCCCATCAGCATTCCCTCAGTATATCTCCACTGTTAATTCGGGCCTCAAGTGTTTATTGCTGTATAGTTTAGAACCAATGAGTCTCATTTCAATGGAAGCTTCCTAATGGTATATAATAGGGGTTGCCAGTTGCCAGGCAAGATCTGTGTAAACGATCAGGGCAGACAAAAGAGGGACGCTGTGGAATGGCATCAGTCATGTTGAACTGGAAAGCACACACCCACTTAGGAAGACCCACACTCAGCTCTAGACAATCAGACAGAATTCAGGCCCTCCTTGATCCTCTCACCTGGAAATGTGATACTCCCTGACATTCAAGCTTTGACAACCAATGCAGATTCTCAGCCAACACTGTGCAGACCAAAGACAATCTGGGCAGATGTAGCCCCAGGCTGCCAGTTTCAACTGTTGGAGAAAGTAGATTTCACATTCCATGGCCATCAGGTCAAGTTCTTCCGTCAGCCCCACTAACTCACATGTTGGCACTATATCTGGGCAATTAAAATCAAAAGGGGGCAAGAAGTCATTTGTCCCCAGAAATTATCCTCATGGGAGGCTTAAAATAGAAATGTCATATCCTTAGACTAGCCTTGCCTCTGATCAAAAGGTACTGAGTTACTCCCCAGCTCTGCTGAGAGCTGCCTGTGGCGCACCCAGGCCATGCCCCAAAGCATTGAATAACTGTAATCCTGATTCTTACTGTTTTTTATTACCGTGACCACTGTGACGAGGGGCTGGCAAAGAGCAGCCTGTGCCTTCAGAGAAGGCAGCCAGGAGCCCCCTGAAGTTTTAAGGTAGCACACGTTGCCTCCTTATGCCAAAGCCCTCTGCCACCTCTCCACACTCCTTCCCAAACCATCTTGCCTCATTCCAGTATAAAATTACTGTTATTTTTCACCTTTGATAGGGCAAAGTCCTTGCTTCAGAACTGGTAGGCACTTAGGTATTTCAAAGTATCTCCTCACCTTAACAGAGGGTTTCTACATAGAGAACCACAGCTGCTTTGAGGATAAAATCAAAATGAGAATAATGGGGAAAAAATAATGAGAACAGATTAGAAGTTGCTAACTTTCAAAGGGACTGAGTTACTTTAAACTGTGTCTTAGGTTGGAGTCCTGATGATATTGGGATAATTGTAAATGGCGAAGGATGTCCTTTAGATACATTATTTCACTTGATCTTCATAAGAAGGGCAGTGTAGAATGAGCCTATGGAGAACCACCATCACTCACCTCCAAAACCAGCCCAGAGTCATCTTGGGCCTGTGAGTCAGCCTCACTGATGCCTGCAGAGAGGGAGGAAAGGGCTTTTTTTCTTCCTATATCAACTTAAATCGATGCCAGAGACTATAAAACCAGCTTATAATTTGTAATAATCAAATCAAAAGTAACTGCAAACTCAAAAGTTGGGAATGCCCATGCACAAAGCCCCAGATTCAATCCCTAGCACCACATACACACACACACACACACACACACACACACACACACACGTTGGGAATGTCTAGTGATGTTAAGTCCTGTTTAAATCTGAATCAACTTAAACACCATTGGCAATACCTGAGATTTCCTTCACTGTGAATGATTCAAATGCTGTCCAATACATAAATGAACTTCATCATCTTCCATTATTTTACCAGGTTTAACACCTTGAATGTAAAGTCACAGGAGTTCTGTCATAGTTAGAATAAGCCTCAGAAAGCCTTTTGGCCTGTCACCCACTTCGTTAACAGGTTTTTTGATGAATGGCACTTTTATTATGTCTCTGAAGTAATACAGTGCCAGAAAAGGAAAGGGTTTAGCCCTTTTCACCTCTTATGGGAAAGAAGCCCTTTGGGTAGTGGTTAGCACCAATACCACAACAGTGACCTGACCTAAAAAGACACAAGTGTTAGGAAACAAGAAGAAAGCTCTGTTTCCAAAAGCAGATCACTACAGATTTTGAAAGGTTGTGATCTGGGGCAGATTATGATCAAATCATAATCCTTGTTTTTTTTAAAAAAAAAAAATATTCATGTTGGGCACCATCCACATAATTATTAACTATATCAACTTACAAAGGGAAGGTCCCCTTTATTTATATTATGAAAATGCTAAAAATTAATTCTGGAGTCAGTTAGTGACATTTTCCTACTAGGATCAATTGCCCACATTTTTAATTCAGAAAATTATCTGAAGTAGAAAGTGGCAACTCCTAAAAAAGGCAAGAGTGCTGTCAAAGAAGAAAATCTTCTTTGAGGGGGCAAAAAATAGCAGAGATGCTCATCTACATCCCTGTCTAAAGAGGGAAACCAGCACTCTGAAGAATTGAGCTTTTTCAAAGAGAGGAAAGAGCAGTTCCCATTTCTGGTTACCAGTCTTGCTTTCCGCCCTCTTGGCAGCACCTGCAGATTTGCTAGTGGTTGCTTCTTCTCCCTTCTTCCTAGCCAGAGGCCAAACTGCTGTTTTGTTCCAAAGCTGTGGATGGGCTATTCTTGATCCTTTGCTCCTGATTATTTTCCCTTAAGTTTAGGCCCAAGAGGATACATACATATTGCTAGGACTGGTATGATAGGCTCAGTCGATGCGGCTGCCCCCTTCCTGCAGGGGACAGATTTCCATGCAGGTGACTATGAGGAGAGAGGCTCAGTCAGCATACAACCTACCACACTGTCACAAGAGCTCTGTTCAAACCCACGGATAGAGAATAACAAGGTACGCATCTAATTCTTTCCCTGTGCCTCAAAGCCCCATCCTACTCCTCCACTGCTCACCTGTCCCACCAGTCCCTTCCCCATGCACAGCTAATTGAGCAGAACAAAGAACATGTACTGGGATCCATGTTAGGAGAAGCACCCAAGGGCAGAGCAAGAGGGCTTCACGTTTAATTACACCTTGACCCCTGCCCATAACTACAGAGCACAAAAGCGGAATTGGCCTTTATTATGTAAAAAGGAAGTAGCTCCTGCACAATATAACTGTTTAACTTTTATATTTATAGAAAGAAAAAACAACTCCAGTCCACTTACATTGTTAAGCACTTGTCCTGCACAGCCTGCTTCCCATGTTTTGGGCACAGATAACTGACACAGGGAAAAGGTGGCACTCTGGGGGCCTGTGGCTGCTGGAGTCGAACCTGAATTCCCCTCAGGGAGCTACAGTAGCGCTTAATGTTAAACTACCCCCCTGCAAAGAGTGAGTGAGCCATGCGTAACTTTGCAGATTATAGACCCTTATTTTACTTTTTAAACCTTTTTTTCCTATACTCTGCTTATTGGAAATAAATGGTTATGATTTGACCAACCCCTGTGATGACAGCAAAGTTGCTCCTTCCAATAGAATCCCAAGAGTTTTGGGAAACTCCTCGATCACTGGTAGAAAGCTTTAGAATAGACTTAGATTTGTAAGAAAGAACTCAGTACCGCCCCCCATTCACAAGTTCCATGGCTTCAATAACTGAAAATGCCCTGAGTGTAAAATAACTCAGGAATGTGGATCATGTCTATAAAAATATATATATGTATATGTATATATATATGCCATTATTCCATATTTTCCTATGATGCACCCTGAAATTCCTATTTTTATAACTAATGGTTGGACAATGGTCAGCCATTTAAACAAATGCTCTCTGGACTAACCAGACCCTAATATAGTTTCCAAAGTGTTTCATATATCAAAATCCTATATGCTTAGAAGAACAACTCAGGATAAGAAAAAATTGCTAGGTCCCAAAGGGTTCATGACTATCATCAAATGTAACTTCCAAGTGGCCTACACTCATTTCTTTCAAGGGAGGGGCTAGGGAGAGAGAACAACAGTAATCACAAAACCTCTGTTGCCCTTACTCCATAGAAAAGTTTAAGAGAACTCTGCTTTTAAAAATTAAGCCATCTTTCAAATTGTTTTCTCCACCAAATCTAAAATACTAAAATAAAATTATTAAATATTTTAAAAGAGGTAGTTAGTGGAAATGCTATCCATAGAAAGTATTGCTTTTCAGTGCCTGCTAAGCAAAAAATATATATGTGTGTGTGTGTGTGTGTGTATACACACACACACACACACACACACATATATATGAAAAACAAGAAGCATTCCTACCTGTGGGACACTGGTGTCAAATGACAGGTGTGAACATATACAGGCACAAGTTCAAAAGCTGTGTGGCAATGCTATCCAGTGTTCAGAGATCTTTTGAAATACAATCTTGCCACCATTCTGGGGTAAGTACTTGCTTACAAAACTCTTAATATTAGTGAATGAATGTATAAAATTACAAACTATGCATTTTCAAAGAGTAACATGTATTTTGTATCAAATCCAAGTAAATTTTTTTTCATAGAGACTTATCATAACTGCAAATTATCCAAAATGAACTTGAATGCATATCTTTGAGGGCATGTGGGATACCGCCTACGTTCTCCCGGCTGTTTTTAAAGACAGTGCAGTGGAACTTTCCTTGGAAACTCCAGGCTCTAAAATATAACCATTCTCACAATTCTTACCATTCTGAAGAACCATTAAGATGAATAAATGGGAAATGGCTTATATATTTCTTCCTAAGCATAAGTGGAAATGTTGCCTATTAAAAATGTGCCCAGGTCCTCAGAGGTGGATGTTCTAGCAACACTGGATGAATAAGCAAACAGCTGCATTAAGTTAGTGAGTACTACATCAGATAAACATGGCATAGGTTTTGTCTGTTGTGCTTAATTCTCAATCCAAGAAAAAAAATTTCAAAAAGCTTGGGTTATGTGGTATTAAAGAACAAAATATAAAAATATGGCCCAACAAATCATTTTTCTTTTTTCACAATTACACGGAGATGACTCCTTATATTTTGAAAATTCTTATAGAATATACACAAATTTCTTCAACCCTCTTACTTATTTTGTATTTCCCTGAAACCTTTTCTCCTAATAATTTGTCTTTGCTCCTTAATTACATTACTCAGCACAAAAAAAAATATATTATTTCCCTCATCTGACATTATGGAAATAAAGAACTCTATTCTCTGCCATTCTGGTTCTCTTCTGTGTCTACTGAGAAAGTTTCTTGATTGTTTGTAAAGTAGGGGAAAACACTCTTCTAAGCCTGGTATTTGAGGTCATGGTGGATATGTTTGCTACCTAATTATAAGTTAGTTGGGGAGGGGCAATGTGTCTTTTTTATATGATTTTTAGCCAAATCCAGATGTTCTGATACTACATTTCTGAATACTTTTCTGACTGTAAATACAGCCCGTGGAGGTTCAGGTTAATAAACCTTTTCTGTGACTGTTCCTCAGCCATGCTCCTTGCCAGCTTTTGGCACATTGTACATAGATTTGTCAAATTCTTAAATGATGTTGTTTTTTTCTAAATGCTGTTCTCTAAAACAATTTTTGTTTGTTTTTTGCTTTCCATTGTTTGGACTTTATGTGTTAGTTTTACAGAATGTTTCCTAAATATTTAACACCAGGAAAAATGTTTTAAAATAAACTGGTGCTAATTGGAACCGAAGAAAAATTTCAGCTTGAAGATTTACAAGGGAAAACGTTCACACCCGTTAACTTGCACTTTCCCAAGGGGACAGCTGGCATCTACTTGAAATGGGCATCAGGAAGACCACCAAGTGTTTACAGTGTCTGTAGCCCATTTAGGTGTAAAATAGAGAAGAGGCTCTGACCGCCCCCATAGTTGAGGATTTGCTACATTGGTCCTCTGGAGGCATTTAGGTAGAAGGAAACGCTGGTAGTAAGAATCCCTTTGGTAATAGTCTTCTGGTCTTTGGACTTTCATGTTCTGTGATGCTTAGCTGTAGTAATGAATATGGTGTTGCCGGTCTAGTCTGATGTCATCGTTGACCTGTACTTATTTTGTGTATGGCTCTACCTTGGGTTGCACTGGCACAAACTGAGCCAGAACATGGGACTTTCAGTAAAAACCATTCTGACTTCAGTATCCACACACATGAACTTAAATGAACTTGTAACTGGTTGATTACCATAAAGTAAGTCTAACTTTCACTTAATAAAAGTTTTTGTGTATCTGCTTCTATTGGGGGCTGTTTATTTAAGTATAATTAATTTCTACCAAGAAAGGTTTTTAACTAATAAAAAATTAAGAGCTTCTTTCCTAAATTTTACTGTCGAAACCATTTTTAGTCACAGGTGAAAGGTATGTCTATTCCCATGTTCACTTAAACCATTCCCTCAAGAGTGGCTGCCTAGATGCACTAGCTGCTCACCCTATGCCAATCATCCTTTCATGTCAAGCAAGCAGACCCTCCACTGGCCAAGTCTGTGTCCACTGGGAACTTGTTCTGTGCAAAAGCCCACTACGTGCACAGGTTCTTCAAGGTAGCAGGCTTTAGAGTTAAACAAACATGACCACAAATCTGGTTTTGCCTTTTGTTAGATGGGCAATTGGACATGTGATTTAACCTTTGTAAGTATTATAATGAAAATTACTAGGGGAAAACCTGGGAAAATGTTCACACCCATTAAACCACCCAGAAGAGAACAGCTGGCATCTACCTGAAGTAGGTATCAGGCAGTCACCCTGGTTTGAATGACATCTTCACCTATTCCTAGTCTCTTCAGTGAGGGAAAAGCATGACTCATTGCCTACCTTCTAGTTCACAGAAGCGCCTTCATGCCTGAGCTATTGTGAAGATTACCTGTAATTATACATATCACAGTGCACAGAGAGGTATTCCACAAATGGAAGCCACACACTCAACCATCCAGAATTTCAGAAACCCAGATACCAGAATTTTCTCATGTCGACTTCTTAAGAATCTTTGTAAAATGGAGTATGCCCTGCCTTGCAAAATAGCATATACATGTCTGAATATTTCATTGATGGCTCCCGGCCATAATTCTTTATGTTGGCCATTTAACCAAGTTTCAAACTGAACCTTCTTGGAGGACTAGAGGGCCCTACAGCTGGACACTAGCTGCTTACTCCCGCACTGCCCCACCCAGCTCCCTGTCACTGAACCTCTATGATTTCCTCCAGCAGGAGGGTCTTGAGCTCTTTGACCTTCCCCTAGGTGCCATGGGGCAGAAGGCAGGGTCACACTTGCTGTGCTGTGTGTGGTAGGCAGCCTCTCACGACAGCTCTGTGTGGGAACCAGAGTAAGCCCCTACCCACAGCTTTGCTTTCTGCAGTTTCAGTTACCTGAGGTCAATGGGCATCATCATATCTTGACGATGGCCCTCCTAACAAATCATCAGAAGGTGGCCAGTAGCCTACTACTGAATCACAATATTTTGGCCCCTCAAGTTCCTTTGTCACATAGGCATTGTTTCAACATATACCATCAGGGGTGAGTGCAATGCAATAAGATTTTGAGAGAGAGGTGACCACATTCATATAACTTACAGTATACTATTATAATTGTTCTGATAGTCATCATTTATCTCTTACAGTGCCTAACTTTATCATAGGCCTGTAGGTATATGAGAAAATACAGCCTACAACATGTAGGACTGGGTGTCATCCCCACTTCATCCAGAAGGAGGTTAAGTATCTGGCCCAAGGCTACACAGCCCAGGTGGATTTAGGCCGCCATGACCCTGAGCCCATCAAATAATTTTTTTGTGTTTTTAGGAGCTATTAGCACATGGATCCAGTGTGAGTTATGGAAGGCAAGACCAATGTCTCCTGTTTCCACTTATTGGCTTTTTTCTACTTTTAAAGCCAGTGTGGGCTGCTCTCTACCCATTCCTGCATCTATCTGACCCTGTCCTCATACCTCTTTCTGTTTATTCTCCTCTCTTCTGTCTCCAGTTTCCCTCACACATCCCAAAGTCATTGCAAGGAAAGGCTGGTGCTGCCTTCACAACCAGCAACCAGTCTCCCTGTGCTGCTCCAGTGCACATCTGCCAGGCCCTTGGCCACATAGATGCCAAACTTCCTTCAACACAGTATTGTCACCCTCAAGCCTCAGGTTCCTGGACACATGATTGAGTGCCCACATTTTTTGCCACAGAGGAAGGATGCACATAACAATGTCCATAAACAGTGCTTGAACTGCACAAGCACATCCTCCCTGGGTCCCTCCAGGGTTCCAAGAAGCTCTCCTGGCCTGACAGTAGCTGGGGAGCCCTCAGGGTAGGGCAGCAGGAAAAATAGAAGCTAGGCTCTAAGTGTTACCCTGAAGATTTGTGTGGAAATCATGAACAGCCAGCCTTCTGTATCTATGGGTTCTGCATCTGAGGATTCAACCAACCACAGATTGAAAATATTTGGGAAAAAAAAGAGTTGCATCCTCACTGAACAGTTACAGAATTTTTCTCATCATTCACTTAACTATTTTCACTCTATTTGTTAGAAGCAATCTAGAGATGATTCAAATTATGCAGGAGGATCCACATATGAAAATATTATGCCACAGAAGGGATGTGAACATCCAAGGATTTGAGTGTTAGGAGATTCAGGCATTCTGGAACCAATCCCCCACAAATACTGAGTAAGAACTGCATTTGCAAAACAAGTTTTTACCAAATTTTTACTATCTCAAGGGATACTGCAAACCACTGATGAAGGGAAAAAATTATTTTAATGTAAGAATTAAAATTATCTTCCCCTCAAAAAGTACCATTCAAGAACTGACATTTCTTAGGGGTAGTAGATCACCCTGTTTGCAGTATCTACCTTGTATGGTCCATTAGCTGATGGATAGATTTTCAAATGAATGTGTAAATAAGTTGTTCAGAAGAGCATGTTTTCAGGCTTTAGATATGCTCTCCGCTTTCTTACTGATGCCTGAACAAAGCAGGGAGAGAAGTGAATACTTTAAAGACTGGTGTAGACATCTATTTGGTCACAGGGCCTTTTTTTTGTTTGTTTTGTGGGGATAGTGGTGCTCTCCCACTAAGGTACATCCTCACGCCTTTATATTTTGAGACAGGGTCTCACTAAGTTCTCAGGTATGGTGTCTCAGCTCATTTTTAAAGTTTCTTTAGAATCTCAAAATTGCCAGCTCAAAATGACTATATTGATTACATAACAATTAGCCAACATAGGACAGAGTGTAGAGTAAGACACCAACTTTTGTAGAAATGCCTTGCACATAGCAAGAATTCAATAAGCGTGGGGGGAAAATGAATGTTTCTAAATGAAATAAATTACAGCATAGGTTGTACTATTAAAAGCACGCAGAGTAAATGGAATGAGACCATTGGAATTTGTGTCAATAATAGAGGAGAGACACTCTAAGCTAGCATTAAGATATAATAACACTATTTTATGAGGGAAATCTGGGTATTATAGTGAATGTTTATTTATTTGTATCTAAATAATACATGCATATAGTTAAAAAAAAAAAGGAGAGTAAAAAGTTCATAGTGAAAGCAGACTCCTGCTGCCCTGCCCCATCTACCCCTTCATCACACTCCCATAAGCACCACTTTCAACTCATTAAACTGTTTTCTCCGATACTAGACTCACTTTTATCTTAATTCTATGCAAGTATTGCCTAGCAAACAGAAAAAGTCAACACTACCCCAGTGATCTAGAACGTCAAGAGCAAGAGGGGCAGGTCGCAACACAAGCAACTGTAGAGGGATGCCCAAGGACAGGAACAGTGCTAGGCACAGGTGAGTGCCTCCATCACAAGGGGTGGCCCCAGCACATGGCTGAGATCTATTCTGAGTCACATATGCATCTCTCTGGGCATTGACATGCTGACCTGCTGGTGGATCCACTGGTCCCGTTTACTTACTATGGGTAAGTTTCCCCAGAGCAATGGTACACCCTAGATAACCTGAAAACAATCACATGTTCTCACTGCCTAGTTAGACCTTCAAACTAGCCTCAGACTCCAGATCAAAGGCTTCAGCCAGCCTGCTGGCTAAAGCATTCTACTCTCTTTTCTTATCATCTCCTCAGGGCCTCCATGCTTACAGTCCAGTCTGTCATATTCCCTGCGACATAAACACTCAGACCTTTTGCCCACCCAGGGACGCCATTTGTGGTGTTGCACGCGACTAAAACACTCAGGGTCACTCCAGGGGAACTGGGCTGCACGAAATAACCACACAAGAGACAGAAATACCTTTTTCTTTGGGGGTGCTGTGACGGCTCCTCTGACCTTAAGGGTCCACAGAAAGAGAAAGAGAAAGAGAGAGCGAGAGCGAGAGCGCGCACATGCTGACCCCTTCTATTGAGAAGAAGCCATTCAAATGAGGCAAGGGGTCAGGTTTCAGGGGGCCAAGTCTATCTTCATGATGTCTGCTGTCAGCAGGTTGACATCTAGGAAGGCCACACCCAAGGGTAAAGTAAGAGAAGGGGACACACAAAGGGTGTTTCCATGGAAGATTCTATCCCAAACAGGGCAAGGGGTAATATTACAAAGGAACAGGTGAGCATAGCTCCACCCCTGGGGCTGTAGGAAGGCATGCCCTTGCATGAAGACACAGTTGCTCCCACGCTAAAGATTGGGGCTATCATCTGGGTTACCTAGGCAACCAGATCACAGAGGCCTCCCACACCAGTCCTCACTTTAGCTGATTGTGCTGTAATGCCCAGAGCATCACAGAGAAACATTTCAGTGCAGATTTAAAACCTTTTTTTAGTTGTCAAGGGATAGTTTATTTATTTGTTTGTTTGTTTGTTTGTTTATTTATTTATTTATTTATTGTGCTGAGGATGGAACCCAGGGCCTCACACATGCCAGGCAAGGGCTCTACCACTGAGCCACAACCCCAGCCCTCAATTCAGATTTTGAAAACTGACTCAGCTAATGCCAAAGATGTTCCTATTCACCTTGTGCTACAGCCAGAGGTGCTGGGGACCAGCTGCACACACTTGTCTTATGCAGTTGACAGCAAGAAATAATCCCACTCCCATAAGATTAAGCAGACACCATGGGAGACTTATTGAAAGAACAGAGTACCTTTGTAGGACCAAAGGTTAGATAACATTGTCAGGCCAGGTAAAGCCCTGGAACCAGCAGGAAGAAAGCCTTTGGGGAAAAAGAAACCACACCCCACACCCTTCTAGGGCTGTCCTTTCCTCAGGCTGCCATGGGGTGCATGATCAGCACCCTT